AGCATCTTGATAAATGGAGAAAAGATTGAAGTTATCAACGACTTCATTTTGCTTGGTGGTACAATCAACACTCATGGAAACAGCAGTCAAGAAATCAAACAACATATTGCATTAGGCAAATCTGTTCAGGAGCAAAGATGCCAGTTTGAGGACTAAGGTATGCCTGACTCAAGCCATGGTATTTTCAATCGCCTCATATGCATGTGATAGTTGGACAATGAATAAGGAAGACCGTAAAAGAACTGATGCATTTGAGGTCCCTGTCACCACCAACATGGAGACTTTGTACTGAGTCCTGTTCTTATGCTCGAATGCCCCAACCTGCAGTTGCAGAAGCCACTCTGGGTGCACAAGCCATCGGCCATGACGTTGTAGCTCTGGCAGTGGTGTCTTCCTTCCTCATCATGATGTTAGTGTGGAACCTCCAAGTGTTGCCTCATTGACTGATGAACATGGGCATCAGAGGTCAGTAGCTTTATTGGCCTATGGAGTAAACAGACAATATATTATGGAAGGCCTCACATCCAGCTTCCTGTTTACAATGGGATGTTTAGGTTTCAGAATCCTGGATTGAAACAATGCATCAAAAATTCCAAAACTCAATAGATTTCTTCTTCTAGTCATTGGATTCATCTGTGTGGTATTGAGTTGTTTTTTTTTTTTTTTTTTTAATGGCTAAAGTATTCATTAGAATGAAATTCTGCATTATCTGTTAGGTTAGAGTACCCCTTGAGAAGAAATCAATGGATATTGGATTTGCTCCTATTAATGAAGTTTTAATAGCTGTACCTATCAAACCTCAGATATGAAATGTGGGAAAGCATGAAAAGCACCAGAGAGAAGGATCTAGTGAAAGCATTGTTGTTAAGTTCCATTGAATCAGTTCTTACCCATAGTGACCATATAGAGTTTCCCAGGAGCGGCTGGTGAGCTTGAACCGCTAACCTTGCAGTTTAAACCAGTGCATTAACCCACAGCGCCATGCTGGGAGTCCAGTAAAAGTATAGGAAGTTAATTAAAGCTTTGGACTAGAACTTCTCCTTGATACTATCAGAGAGAAAAGCTTTTTTACAGTGGGTTTTTTTTCCCTGTTGACCCAGACTGACATACTAACGATATTAAGTGGCATTTCTTTGTAGTTTTTCATTTCTAAAAGGAAATATACTTTATTTCTACAACCATAAAAAAAAGAAAACAATTGATGCATTTGAGTTATGGTGTTGGAGTAGAATATTGAAAGTGCCATGGACTGTCTGAAGAATAAACAAATCTGTACAACCAGAATGCTCCTTGGAAGCCAGGATGGTGAGACTTTGTCTCTCATACTTCAGACATATTATCTGGAGGGACTGTTCCCTGGAGAAGGACATTATGCTTGATACCGTTGAGTGTCGGTAAAGAGGAAGACCATCAGTGAGATGGATTGGTAGAATGGCAGCAGCAATGGGCTCACACCTAACAACAGTGAGCTCAAGTAGAACAACAGATGGTGCAGGACCAGGCAGTATGCATAGGGTCCCTGTGAGTCAGAATTGACTGGACAGTACCTAAGAATAACCAACAACACAAAGCTCTGAGTAGAAAAGCCATCTGAAGTCATTCACTGCACAGTATTGACCGATAATTAAATGCAGCAAGAAAGGAGAGAGAATTCAAGAATGTTGATATTTATAGCTTGGTTGATGGTGTGGTGGTACCTTTTCCTTGCTATGGAGAGAACTGGAGGGTTCAATCTGGGGGAAAGATGGGGAATTCTGTCTTATGCTCTAGGTCCAAAGTGGCTCCAAATGCCAAATACATGTACATATACATGTATATATGTGCATGTGTATTATATACATGCATGTACACACATGTGTACACTGAGTGTCTAACACCTTCCAGGCTTACATGTCTGGTAAACATGTTCTCAGTGAGGAACTTGAAGATCCAATGTTGGAGGCTCCAGCAATGTCAGGACGTGGGAGGCTTCACTGAGGTGGGAGGTGGGGACAAGAATCAGTCAATGATTCTCCCAGTCTTGGAAAGGACTACTTGTTTTATGGACACACACAACCCTCCCCATTTGGAGCCTCAGGACTTAAGACAAAGGTCAACAGGTAGCTTGTGCCTACAGAGTCAGTAGTAGTTTCAGACTGCAGGGAAGTCCCTTAGCTTTGTTGAGTCTTGCCCAAGCCCCTCCTCCCATCACAGAAGACCCTTGTGGTGGAGGGCAAGACAAGGGCTGCCCCAGGTCACTAGTAAGCAGCTCTAAGTGAAGCTTTATTGTTTTTGTTTTTTTTTTTGAGAAAGGAGGAAGAAAATTGAGGGAACAGAAGAAAGCAGGGAGTAGTGGTAGTGAGTATTCTGCTCTTCATTCATGGAAGAGGAGGGGACAGATAGGGTTGAAACCAGAGACTTTCTGCCCAGAGACCTGGTATTCTACATCAGCTGGATCAGTGGGGTAGAGACTATCACCCTCACCAAAGACTCCAACTGGTTAGGGTTTCCAGGATCCTGCTGAAAAGGCCTCACTTTGATAACTATAGCCGTGTGTGTGTGTGTGTGTGTGTGTGTGTGTGTGTGTGTGTGATGAACAAGAGAGGAGCCTGAAGCTTTATATAATTTCGAGTTCCCACTGTAAGTAAAAGAAAAAAATCATGAACACAAAATTAGGTATAGGATGCTGGAAAGGAACTGTGCAAGAAAGGAGTTCTGAAACTTTAAATTGCCATCAGCTTTTGGGTTAAATTACCTTTTGTGGTGTGTGAGTAAGCACTTTCTGCTTTTGAAGCAAGATGCAAAACTGCTTGGAACCACTTGTTTGGAATAAATGCAGCTCTCACTGGGCTCTAAGTGCCTTACTGTTTGTTCTCTGCCCATAGGCCTGGCAGACAGTAGCTATCACTTAGGGAATGCTTCCCCATCTTAGAGGTGAGTAAGACAAGGGTCAGTGAGGGATGGCTCTTGCCCAAGTTCACCCAGACTATTAAGAGGGTGAGATGGGATTTGAACCCAAGACTCCAGGATTCCAAATCTATGGTCTTTCCCAAGCCAAGCTATAAAGATGAACAAAAAACTTGTGGAGTGAGTAAATGACTTAGTGAATGAGTTAGTGCAGATTGAGTGATTGATCATCTAAAAAATGAAGAGATAAAGAGATGAAATGATGACCCCATTTACTGAACATTTTATGTGTGCCAGATGCTATGCTGAAAATCAGAATTTGGCAGAGAACAACACATAGTCCTTGCCCTTAGGGAACTTGTTGCCTAGTGGGGAATGGGGAAGTCGGATGCTGAATGCTTGGAAGAAGGACTGAACAGCGTACCTTAGGAGCTTAAAGGTGGATCTCACTTATTTAAGGGCCCAGGAAGTCTCTTGACATTTGAATGGAAACCTGAAGAGATGACGTTTTAGGTATTAGATAGGGAAGAGAGGTGGTAAAGGGGGTTCTCAGCCTGTGGAAGGCCTAGATCTAATCTGAAGAACCTGGCTCTTCAGAGAAACTCAAAGGAATTGGGAGGGTGGAATGGAGAGGGTAAGGTAGTATGGCAAGCCAAGGAGGGTTAAAAGGAGTCAAGGGCCAGAGAAAGGAAAGATTTTTAGGTCTTGCCAAGGACATCCATGGAGGAGTTTGGGCAGGAGGCATGAAGAGCTAGTCATGGTGCCCTGAGGGCTGATAGGATAAATGAACTTTCTCTTCTTGCTTTCTGCTATCTCATGTATATAGTAGGGAAATAGTATCTCACTTCCAGGATTTTGTGTGTGTTTCATGTGGGTACATGCATGCATGTGTAAGGGAATTTGATTGGGAGATGTGCATGCTTGGTCACTAGACTCTGCACATTAAGTGCTGAAAAAGCCACTCTTCCTCTGACTTAGTCTCCTGCGTCTCCTCCCAGGGATCCACTCCTGCTTAAGAACATCATGCATGCAGGTGAGCTGTACCCACAATTCCCATAGGGTGAGTGACCCAGGTGTTGGACATGGGGTGGGGTGAAGTGGAGGGATTGGGGAGTTCATCCAGCATCCAGGCCCCATTTTTGATGATTGTCCCAGATTCTCCATAAAGTCTACGTTAGCTGGCATAGACCAGATGTTAAGAGCCAGGGCAACTCTATCAATGCTGCTTTGGAAAGCTAGCAGTATGACTCGGTGTAGAGGAGTTCTAGAGGATTTAGGGGTTAGTCTTTGGCTAGGGCCAGTTGCCAAACATTCAGGAATCCTTGTTACTGAACACAGGTTTCATATATGGTTGACTGGAAGTAGTTACCCATTAGAAGATTCCTCCTTCCTTTCCACTTTAAGGTGAAAGAGCGACTAGACTTTCTACTGTGTACCTAGTACTGTACTAGGGTTATCAGAGGGACCAGAGGGACCAGGTTATATATAGTTCTTTTCATCATGAAGTTCATTTCTTGCAGATTCTAGACCACTATATAAAGTGTAAATATTTTACTTGGAGGAGGATTGGCAAAGTACAATGAGAAGATAATTATAACTTACAGTGACCCACAAAATGGCTGGTGGGTTCTAACCTCTGACCTTTTGGCTAGCAGCTCAAACACTATACCACCAGGGTTCCTTTGCAGGAGGTTCAGGTCAAGGGAATTTGTGAGGAACTTGATCTGAAAGAGATTAGGGAGTGGTCAGAGATAAGGGAGTAGGGAGTGATGTTGGTGGAGTCAGGATTCAGTCATGCATGCCATCTTAGTGAGTAGGGGGTTGTCAAGGACAGTGAGTATGGTGTGGTCAAAGACCAGAAATACTTTGACTGAAACCTAGAAAGCAAGGAGGAGAGCTATGTCTGGTTGGGTGGGGTTGGAAAGGTAGGTTGAGTGTGGTCACCGGGGACACTGGAAACCATAGTGGTCTTTACCCTAAGTGAAGCCATGGAAAAAACTAACAGGATGTGTCATGGCCACATTTGCCTTTTCTCTCAGGAGCACTGCAGGGACAACAATCTTTGGCTGTTGGAGAGAAGGGGGCAGTGGCACCGAGACATCTCCAGGCTGGGCATGGCTATGACTGTCGATGAAAACTCAAAGATGACACCAAATCTCAACTCCAGTGAAGCCCCTGGTTTAGGCTCTGGCACTGCCTCTGTGCCCAACCCAGACGTGGCCCCTGTTCCTATCTTGAATTCACCTTTGAGGTCTGGTTTGCCTCTTGTTCCAGATCTTAATGCTGCTCTGAGTCCTGTTTCAGAGGGAGACCTTGGCCCGGTGCCTGATACTCCCCCCAGACCACCTGGGGACACTAGAACCCTGGTTCCAGCCTCCCTCCAGACCCCCAGTTCTCACTCTGGTGAGGCTCAAGGCCTGGATTTGAATTACATCTCAAAGTCTGACTCTGGTGGACCCGTTTGTCAAGCCTCAAATCTCATTCTGAACCCTGTTTCTACTGAGGTTCCTGCTCTGAGCTTGGGCAATCAACCTGAGCCAAATTCCAAGCAAGATTTTTCCCTTTCAAGCAAGGTTTTTCATTTGGGTCACAGTAACTCCAACCCATTTATAAAGCCCTGTTCAAAAGAGGCCTTAGTTATGGGCCACACTACTTCCAGACCAGGCTCAAAAGCACTTCTTATTCCAGACTTAAGTACTTCTTCAGATCCTGACTCAAGAAATGTCTCTAAGTTGGACCTGGATGCTACTCCAGGGCCCCCCATCCCAGACAGAAGTGAGACCATCACTTTAACTTCCTGTAATATCTCTGGGTCTGTTTCTAAAGGAGCTCTGGGTGTAACCTGGAGCAAAAGCTCCAAGGGTACCATTAATGTGGTTTCAAATGACAATTCCAGATCTCAGGGGAACATGACCCTCACTAAGGCCTCAACTGTGACCCTGAATCCCAGCTCCACCAATGGTACCAGCTTGCACTCCAGCATCTATGCGCCCAACTCTACCCTCTCTCCACCTTCGTGCATGACCCTAGTCCTGGGCCCCAGTGAGACTGCTAGCATGGGTTCTAGCCTAGTTTTCAGCGACACCTCGACCTTGACACTGAGCAGCCAGCAGGATTATTCTGAGGACAACAGCATTTACACTATACCCGTGCAGCATGGAAATCTGGACAGCTGGAGAGGGGTGGTCAGCATTGAGGTGGACAAGTTCCCACTGGAGTTCTCCACCCTTGACTCCAGGGATAAGGATACCACAGTGTTTCAAAGCATCCCTGGCGGTAAGTACAACTAAGGGAAATACCCAAGAGAGGTCACTGACCTGCACAAATCTGGTATTCAGACTTATGGGGCAGAAGGGGAGATAACATATATAGCTGTCTTTGTTGTTGTTGTTGTTGTTGTCAGGTGCCATCGAGTCGGAACCAACTCATAGTGACCCCATCCACAGCAGAACAAAACAATATCCGATCCTGGGCCAACCCTACCACCGCCGCCACACTGGATGCCTTCAATGATGCCACCTGGCTGATCCATCTCGTTGGGGCTCTTCCTCTTTTTCTCTGACCCTCCATCTTACCCAGCATGACATCCTTCTCCAGGGGCTGTTCTCTCTTGACAATATGTCCAAAGTATGAGAGACGAAGCTTAGCCATCCTGGCCTCCAAGGAGCACTCGGGCTGCATTTCTTCCAAAATAGATCTATTGGTTCTTTTGGCAGTCCATGGCACTTTTAGTATTCTCCTCCAACACCACAA